CAAAGAAGCATCTACAATTTATTTCCCCCATTTTTATATATTTGTGTGTATGTGTGTCATGAGTTGAGGATTGTTCCTCCACTTTTATATATATATATATATATATATATATATATATATATAATGTGTGTGTGTCTGTTTTATTTTAGTCATATCATTAGTTAAAATGAAATTTCAAACAATCCCCACTTATGTCCAAAATTGAACATTTCAAGTGGGATATTTACAAGACTGGATATTTGGATATAGTCCAATAATAGATCATCCAAAAGGCCCAAAACAAATGCTAGGAGAGAAGAATTCGAGCTCCAAAACTTAACTCAATATTATATAATCTGCTTGTAAATTGAGAGTTGCTTAAGCCTTGTAAGGGCTACATAAGTCATATATATAACTAATGTGGGATCTACACCGTACTCATCAAATATGCAAGAACAGAATGACAATTTCAAAATTGTTGTATTCATGATTTCAACATATTCTTCAATACTTTGATCTTTATAACTCTAGGTATGAACAAAAGTAGTTTGAAGATTAGGGAGCACTAATTACAACTTGTTTCTACAATTCTATTTGATGAAATGTCTAGAACATACGGAACTAGGAAGCCAGGATCATGACATTGAATCTGACCTAGTGAAGGAACTATACAACTGAGTCATATACGACAGTTTCAAGAACCAAATGTCGTAAAGCTTAAGCTATAAAGCACAAGCCCAATAATCGTATTTAGTCTAAAATGTCCTCTGGTGAGAACCATTTGGGATTCAAGCATAAGTACTAGTGCACTCAGATATTTTGGTGAAATTATAATTTAATTAAGGGAATTTGTCAGTGAGGACAGAACCCTTGACGACTTAGTAGAATCTGATTTCATTGCATGAACAGTCTCCCAGCAGTTTAATTTGTCAGGTGCAAGCCCAGAAAAATTAATTTCTAACAGATAGTTGGGAACATAACAAAATGTAACTAACAATATATGACAAGTTCATCCATGTAATTATCAGTTTAAGATTTAGATAATTGCTACTTTTAGGTTGTGAGTGTGAAAGTGCTGGACAGGAAAGGCAAGAAGCCTGGGATACCCATCATCTATAACTCAAATATTCAATTTTCTTTATGTTCGTTATCTGTCCAGGTTTATCTTATGGCTATACATGTTAAGATTTCATTCACTTAGTGTCCTCCTAATTGATTTTCGCTTAACTTCATTTAAAACTCTCAGCACCATGAAATCTATTTTAGTAAACACTCTTTGATCACTGAAACTGTTAATAATATGGTTGTTAGGTTCTGTCAACTCCTAGCATGCCACCTTTTAACACACTACATACAGCTTTCAATGCAGCTACTGTTATACCTAATTAATATTTATTATAACCCTGACCTTTCTCGGGTTTGTGAAGTCTTAATTTATTGCAATGCACCATTCATGAAGACTAACAAGCCCTAACAAGATCCAGCTCTTTGCTAATGTCTAGGATCAAAGCTAAATGATGCAGTCAGCATCCTCATTAAACATATATAGGCCAATACGTTTACCGAAATAAGGTCCAAGAAATCATTATTTTAACAAGTTCTCCTTGAATTGGGTATCTGTGAACATTGACCGTTTGCTGAATCTCATCAAATAAGAAACATTTAATAAAATTAAACTTTTTTAGGCCATATGAACCATTTGGTAATTTTAGCATTTCTTCACACACACTGAAGCGTATAACACGCATATATTGGTGACTAGGAAAGAACAAAGACAATATCGATTGAATAGAACTTTGATGAACAACAAGTAATACACAATACCAAATTTAAAACATCACCTGAGTGAAAATACCCTTAGCTTTAGAAACACGCAGGCGAGTTGCAATTTCTTTTGGTGCAAAACTATCAGCTATTGATACTACAACACATCCTGCTAAAACAATGGCCAGATATATAATCACGGCATTGACTGTCATTTGCATGTCAATGGCGATTGCATCTCCTTTCGAGAATGAGGCATCTATTGCATTCGCTACCAACCTGGAAAAAACACAGCAAAAACTATGAAAATTACTTAAAGAATAAAACAGAAGGGAGAAAGATCAAAATCTTAATAGTGAGATACAGGAACAAAAAGAACGGAAGAAAAATAAAATAAAGCATAATGATACACAAATTAATCCCGAATCAACAAGAAAATCAAAGCAGCGATGAGATTGAAAAACACATAAAATTATTGAATCAACCAAAGTGGCACAGGTATGATGATGAGCAACACAAATTTGGTCCAAAAGCAAGACTGTGAGCTGAAAAGGCTTACATTACTTGTTGTCGGAGCTGTTTAAGCGTGATACGGTTAACCTTGGAATCTTGAAAAGCTTCATCTCTCCAAACGATGGCTAAACTGTCATCTGGTTTGTAGGGATGAGAACTGGGTTGCAGGCAGCAATCAGCAATGTTGAGGACAGAACCGGGAAGCCAGGTGCCTCCATGTCTAGAAGGGTCAGAAGTATCTAAAATATATTTGGGAGGTTCAACAAAGTAGAGAGAAAGCTCCTTGAGAAGAAGGGACCAGTAGAGCTGCATTGACAATGAGAATTAAGAAAGAAAGAAAAGAAGAGATGTTATGTGTGAATAGAAAAAGAGGTGTTGGGTTGTTTGCCTGAGGGTGTTGAACAGAAAAGTTGTGAAAGAGGCGATAACTGGAAATAGGGTCTTTGTAGGTAGGTCCTAAAAGTTGAGGGGCGTGAGTTTCCATGAAACGGCCAAGGTTGGTGCGTTTGGAGTTGTCCCTGAAAAGAAGAAGAGAAGTGAGTGGAGATTGTAGTGTGATAAGAGTGATAGATAAGAAGAGAAAGACTTACAGGGAAGGAAACCAATAGAGTGGGAGGGAAGCATGTTGAGTGTGGAAGGCAGAGTGATAAACAGAGTGATAGAGAAGATGATGCAATGAGTGTGGAAAGGATGGTTTCAGCAGTTTTCGAGTCACAATGTGGCGCCATATGAGTGAGGGTTGGTTGTCGTTGTCGGTGTCGGAGAGACACTGAGACAGAATATCCCTCAAAAGACGGTTTAGTTGATTGGCTTCTGCTACTGTCAACCCTGCATTCAGCAAGTCTTCCACTTCCAATTCCCTCACAGTCTTCACCATCTCTGTTTCAAAAGTGGAAGTTGAATGAAAAGTTGCAGAGGGGTTGTTGAGTTCTTGAGGTTGATGTGATCCAAGTGGATCATGCGGTATCTTCACACCACCAAACACTTCAAACTCTGTATTATTAAGCTTCCACCACCTTCACAGCATCTCCCTGAGAAAGCTTTTCTTTTTTTCAGGTGATTGGCGGTGATGAATGGTGATGTTTCTGAGACAAAAATTGAATTTGGCATGAGGCACCAACTTTACTTAACCACGTGATCTGTTTATTATACCTACCACAGAGTGAGTTAACTGCTGAGTTTATAAATAAGTCACTGCTGAGTTATTTATCAAATTGATTGACTCAATTTATATTAACTTTTTTTAAATTACAACTTAGAATTATTTATTAGATGTAAATTATATTGTTATTATAAAATTCTTTACGTTCAAATAAAAAATAATCATAAAATAATAATATGCAGTTATCAAATAACCCTTTTATGGCAATTTTTTATGACTTCGTTTTTTCTTTGAGAAGGTTAATTAAAATCGTTGATAGGGTGGTTGGTTAATGAGGTTGAGGTCCCAAAGTTGACCACAACATAGAATGGTAGTTGGTGACGCCTCTCCCCACAAACAACCAAACCAACCACGTTTTTTTCCCTCCAAAATATCCTGTTTTTTAATTACAGAACTACAAAAGGAAAAATCACAAACATTCACCCTCATTTTATATACACATGTCTATTAAATACTTGTTTTTCTTTATTATATTATATATCCTATAAATTTATTATTTTTATTTCCTATATATATATATATATATATATATATATATATATATTAAATGTTAATCATTATTTTTTATGTATATGAATCATTTTTCTTATAACATCTCATTTAATAATATAAGTCATTAAGTCAAACATGCTACAATTATTAATAAAAAAACTATAATCCAATAATATAACTACAACAATATATGATAATATATGATATGTATACAACTCAAGAAAACTATAATGAAGACAGAGAGATTAAAAATCTTTTAAAAAGGCCTTATATAAAGAACTACAATCTTAAAGCTACACAATTGTATCACTATCAGAGATATATCAACTCTTACTTTCTCATTTGCAAAGAAAAACACAAGCACAAAACAAACTAATAAAAAATAAAAGATAGACTAATATACAAAAAAATACATCATATATCAAATAAACAAGTTGTTTTAACACAGTAAGTAATCCATACAATTATAAAACACTAAGTACACAATTAAAGACTCTTCTAAACTAAATTGTCCTGATAAAATGCATTTGATGTCGAACTGCTTAAACATTTTGTACTTGTGATGGATATCCTTCACTCACAAAGTTAATCATTTTATTGTCATGAGAACTACAAAATATGTTCTTAAAGACTTCCTACTACTCTCACCATCTAACACATCATTCTTTATATGAGTTTGAATGATTAGTAGAGTATCAGAATAACTTTCATTATGAATTCCTACTTCAATGTATACTATAAGAAACATGCAACCAATGTTGTTAGAAGCGTGAGTAAGATCGCAAACTCGCACAATCCTACAAGTTTTCACCCCTAAGCAAGTTAATGTGAAGGTTGGATCGGAAGATGGCCGAATCAGAGCAATCTTTCGAGTTTGCTCATCGAATTGAAGGATCGTTCATTGCGTCAATTTTCCATAGTGTTGTGATGTTAGGGTTCGAGAGGAGTTGCGACGGGGCTAGGGTTTGACGGTTCCCATGTGTTATAAAAAATTGACCCGCTTCATGTTTTAGTAAGAAAGCCTCTAACTTCACAGGATGCTCTATCTACACATAAAAACATCATAAGAGCAATCAAGTCATACTATTATGATCATCGATTAATAGAGACTCACATTGATGATATAAGGTCACATGCAAACAAGTAAAGCCTACAGCAAATAGAAAGACAGATATAACAAAGAAAGGAGTAAAAAATCAACTTACTCAAAAGGATTTGTAAAACTCAATGTCCTCATTACAAATATGTCCTCTTTCGTCAAAGAGACAAGTGAAAAGATAAAAAGCTTAAAGGAAAAATAAATAATTATAAAAAAGTGATTTCAATAGTGATTTTATATAAAATGAATTTAAACTATTCAAAACCTTTATATAATTTAAACTTATTTTATTATTAAAATATTGTAATGTTATCTTTTTTATATAAAAAACTACTCTTAAGTTATTTTTTAATCCTCGTCTCTTTTAAAAAACAGGAAACATGTTTATATAATACAATTCTTATTTTTTCTATAAAATAATAATTCAGAAATGAAAATTTATATTTTATTCATGTAAAATTAGTAACATGGTTATTAATTGGTTTTGAAAATAATAAATTAGAATTTAATTAATTGGAAATCATTAATATTTATAAATTATTTAGTAAGTTGGAATTTAATTTATGCTTCTATAATTTTTTTAATTTAATAATCCTACACTTTTAAATTTAATTATAAGTATAAAATAATAATTTTTACAATGAAAATTAAAATATTGTGGTAGTTAATATAATAAATTGTATTTTTCATAGCTTCTTTTTAAAGAAAACTTTCATTTAAGTTTTATTTAAACAATTGATTAAAATATCTCTTTAAATCCTTTTTTTACTGTTGTTCTTTTATTCTATTTCGGTTTCATAGTTCAGTATTCATGTCACTAATTTAAGAACACTATTTATGTATTTTTAATATTTGTGCAAAGGATAGGAAATAATGTCTACAAAGTAAATACAAATATTATTTCATGAAAACTTGGTCATAAATAAAAATATATATATATATATATATATATATATATATATATATATATATATATATATATATATATATATATATATATATATATATATATATATATATATATATATATAATTTGAAAAAAAAAACAATGTGATGCAAATAGTATCTTATATCCTGATAATTGTGGGCAAACACTTCTATAATGAAGTCTTTCACACTAAAAACATTGCATCTCACGTGACTAATCTGACTGATGAGAGGAAGACTCTTTAAACCCATGAGAAGGAGACATAGAGAAAGGTTCCTTCTATCTCTGTGATCCAGATGGTCCCCCAACCCTCTAAGGTTGTCTTTGCTCATTCTCCACTTCATTCTTTATCTTTTCCAGCACTCTAGCCCTTTCTACCAAAGCAAGAATCTCATTTATACACAATATAGTCACCATCAAATTTATGTCTCCTCTTAAGTCATTCTCAAATTCCTGACATTGTCATTCCTCATCCATGTTCAGAGTATGGAAATGAATGAGATACTTAAACTTCTCAACATACTTAGAAATTGACATCCCTCCTTGGACTAACGTGAGGAACTCTACTTCCTTGGCAAACTTGACACTGTCAGGAAAATATTATGCATAAAACTTTTTGTTGAATATTTTTCAATTAATGACTTATACACTCTCCTCCATTAACATTTTCACATTGCCCCACCAGTGGCTTGCTTCTCCAATAAGAAAATACTCTAGAAAAGCTAATCAATCCTTTGTTGGGCACCTTTTCACATCAAAGATTTTCTCCATGTCTCTCATCCAAAGATCTGCTTCATCTGGACCTTTTTTAACATTGAACCTAGCGGGATGATGTTGTAGAAAACTCTCTAAACTTCACTCTTGGGCTTGAGAAAATTGAGTGTGAAAGGGCCAAACTATTGCCTTTGCTTTACCCCTCTGATTCATAACTGCCATGTACTGCCTCTGGGATGTCTTAATTGAAACCCTAGTAGTTTCCAAATGTTGTAAGGTCATCGTGTTTTGCTGAACCAAAAATGCATTTTGTTGTTGCATCGCTACCACAAAAGATTCCATCATCCTTACTAGATTGGGCACATTTATGGTGGAGGAAGAGGAGGCCTAGGTGTCATACTCTGCTCACATAAACAAAAGCCATCAATTTAGAAATACTATCTAGACACAACTAAGAGTACATAACAAAAACTTGGTAAACTCATAACCTACATGTGTTCGAAGGAAGAAATGCTTTGATACCAAAAATGTAACATCTCATTTAAATAGTCTTAATACTATAAATGAAATATTACACATCCAATAAACAAGATCATTTAACACAACATAAAGTATATAAAATTTCCATTACAGTTATCCAAAACATAACTATAGGTAAATATTTATATACACATATATAACTAAAAAAATACTAACTATACTAATCAAACTAAACATATGTTCCTTCACCGTCCAAAGCCTACTCCATGGAAGCCTCATCTCCATATTTGTTCACACATATCAGGTGATCATATTAAAACATACATCAAGCACAACAAACACGACACAAGAAGGGTAACCTGATATTAAAAAAGAAATTCATTCATGCAATTATAACATCATACAATATAAGTCATTTCCAAATCAAATCAAATCTCAACATACAATGATTTCTAAACTTGATCAATCTGGATTTATGTATTGATGTCAGACTATGACATGTTTTTGCACTTGTAGTAGTAGAACAGCCAACCCACCCCAAGTTACCACACAAGGCTAATCCATCTACCACCTATGAACAAAGAGCATCAGACCATAGACTAGGACCTCCTAGTACTCCTCACCACATACTCCCCTTCTCTATTTGAGATGGAGCGATTATTAGAGTATCAAGATAACTTCCAAGACTGAATCTCTACATCAATACATCATTCTACTTGCCATGAAATTCCCCTCTCACAACACACATCACATTAGCCCAAACTTTTCATGCATATATATAAAACAAAATCATTTGTAGTAAGATTTAAACATTAACCAAACTTAAGAGAAACCATAGAAGCAAAAGAATTTCACAACAAAATGAGTATGTAAAAAACCCTGGCATTGAGCGACTCATCCTTGGTGTTGAGTGTTGTGAAAAGTTGGCGCCTGAGTGCCACCCTACTATAGCTGAGCGCCAAAGCACTCGACTTTCTGGCGTGCAGGTACCAGGTACCGTTGGTTACCGTTGAGCACCACACTAGAAGTGTAATAACCTCAAAATTAGCTTTGGTGATTTGCTAAGGAATCAAGGTTCAACCAATCAACCTATAACTAACAACTCATGTATTTCATTTCTCTTTCTTTAAACTAGGTTCCTAATACTCTAAGTAGCCAACTAAGTCCTAAATGGCCCAAATAAACACCTAACAACAACTTTGCTCATAAGACCATTCCTCCCTGATTTCACATGACAAAATCCCTCATTTTCTTG